CTCTGGGATGATCGAGAACAGATCCTGCCCCTCCTCTGTGTGACAGCTTTCCAAATATTTGAAAAGAGCTATCATATCAGCCCTCAGTCTTCTTTTCTCAAGGCTAAACATGCCCAGTTCTTTCAACCTTTCCTCATAATGTCACAGTACTACTTCACATCTGACCCAAAGGCAGACAAAAGAGGTGAAATATGCCTGAAATTCTACTTATATAGCTGTACAATTTGTGCATTTCCTCACTTTTTTAAAAAAGTGGCAATTTTTCTGAATGCCTTTTTAATGTGTGCATTTTCCCCATTGACAGTCAGTCCTCCCCAGTGCAGAGGGTTTTGTTTTTGGTTTTGGAAATTAAATACTCTTTCCCTATTCTACAATCGTCAACAACTTTCCAATAATGAAAGGAATGCCTCAGATGTCCAGGGGAGAATCAGAAATCTTTAATTTCCTACAAACAAACAAACAAACAAACCACCATAGCTGCTGACATCATCAGACTTACATGGCATAAATTATATTGCTAGATTTCAACCAGTGACTGGAATCCTACTGGAGTAGCTGTGTGGGCTGTCATCAACCCATAAACAAACTCACCTCTTGAATTGATGATCAATCTATTCTTGGCCTCGAGCAAGCTGGTTTTAGGAAAGGCAACTCCATAATCGACAACTGTTTGATACTCTCACACCTTATTTTTTTTAAAAAAAATTAAAATATGCTAAAGCCAAACTTTATGTGGCCTTCCTTGATTTAAAGGGAGCTTTTGATTCAGTAGATAGACAACTATTATGGGACAAATTGGAAAATATGGACATTGATAAAAGACTAAATGGAAATTGCATAGAACAGGTTAAACAGTACAAATACTTAGGTGTTATTTTTCATTATAAATACTCTTGGGTCCCCCATCAAAAAATGGCTATAAACACAGCAAGGATCACTACTCAATCTATTCTGCATTTTTACTATGATTCAGGAAATCGGTTTGTCCCAGCAGCATTACAAGTTTTCAAGTCCAAAATTATTCTACAAGCCCTGTATGGTTTTCCAATTTGGGCAAGTGCTTTGGATCAATCGATTGAACGCAAAGAGTAAGGACTACCGAGATGCGTGCCCTACTCAGTACTCTGTCTGGAGTCCGGAATATCTTTAATACAGACTGTAGCTTGGTTGAGATCATTCAAAGTTTGGTTAAGTATCTATTACAATTCAAACATCGACAGTTCATTATACCAACTTCTGCGGGACTCTGTCCCATCTTTTGGGCCAAAGGTCCTCTTGAAAAAATTGAAATCAACTGGAATAGATAGTGACTATGCTGGAACTCTAAGTCAAGAGCTAGCTTTCCAAATTATTAAAAGAAGAATTTTGGTTACTGAATTCCAGGACCTTTGTAGTGCAGCCAATAAATTCTGTTCACCATTGTTTTTCCATATCCCTCCTAAAATGAGTAAACCGGATGCCTACTTTTCCTTGCTCAAATGCCCCCCAAAACATAGGGCCTTTTCTTTGGCCAGATGCAATGTCATGTCTAGTGCTATATTATATGGCAGATTTAATGCAATTCCCTATTCTGAAAGGCACTGTCCATATGAATAGGGTGTGCTGGAAACTCTTGCTCATACATTTTTGCACTGCCTGCTTCACTCGATTGGCCAATCAAGGTTAATAGCCTAAATTTTATTAAACCTGGAAGGGAGGTCAGATCTGGATAAAGTTTGCTATATGCTGATGGCTGAGATGACTGACATTGCAGAAAGAGTGGCATACTTCCCTAATACTATTGTTAGGAGATGAACTGTTGTCCCTTTAAGGATGTCTAACACTTTTCTGCCCTCTTGATGCGAATATATGTAGTTACCTAAGAAACCACTGTTGACTATGTCTGATTTTTACTTATGCTAATAAAGGTTTTATATATCTATAAATAAGCACACATGCATAAATGCTGTTATCATTAAATTAAACTAAATTAAAAGCTTCCTGTCTTGCCCTTAAGTAATCTGAAACAATTTGTTTTCAGGCTTGTGAAGGTTTTTTTAAAATGTATTTTATTTGCAGAGAAAAATATACATGGAAAAAAGAGGCTTGTGACTTCAGACAGGGGCTTTCAGTATCTATAAATAAGCAAACATGCATAAATGCTGTTATCATTAAATTAAACTAAATTAAAAGCTTCCTGTCTTGCCCTTAAGTAATCTGAAACAGGTTTTTTTAAAAAATGTATTTTAATTGCAGAGAAAAATATACATGGAAAAAAAGGCTTGTGACTTCAGACAGGGGCTTTCAGGCAGCACCATCAGCTTTGGAAATATAGCAGAACATAAGCAAACATGCATAAATGCTGTTATCATTAAATTAAACTAAATTAAAAGCTTCCTGTCTTGCCCTTAAGTAATCTGAAACAGGTTTTTTTAAAAAATGTATTTTAATTGCAGAGAAAAATATACATGGAAAAAAAGGCTTGTGACTTCAGACAGGGGCTTTCAGGCAGCACCATCAGCTTTGGAAATATAGCAGAACTTTTATGTGTAGGCAAAACTCCCAGCAGCTTCCTTCTTTCCCCCTCCAAGATGTGCTCAGGGAAAAGTATATTGGAGGTGTGCAAGATGTCCCTTTAACACCCCCAACCCGACTATTCCGAAGGTGACCATTTGCAGTGTAGCCCAAATTAGAGTGCTTATCATTTTGGTCATTGGTAGTGTTCAGCAGCCATCAACTCTACAAGGTACATCAGTAACAACAGCAAGAAAAAAAGGGCTGTCTCTTGGCATCAGTAGGAAAGGAGAGGCTGCCCCATACAGAAGGCAAGTACATTCTGGAAGAAGTTTCTTTTGTGGTGTTCTTGCAGGGAGTGTCTGAATCTGTACAGACAAGTAAGGAGGAAGAGAGGAAAACATATGTCTTGAGGCTAGGCAGCATATCCCCTAAGTGTCGCTCCAGTCAATGGTTTGGTATGCCCAAGAGTGCTTAGCCCAAAACAAAGTGCAAATCAGGTTCCACGCAGGTTCTGCAAATAAAAGCCAAAACCAGGCATAGGGAGAATGTCTTGAGGCTAGGCAGCATTGCCCCAGTCAATGGTTTGGTATGCCCAAGAGTGCTTAGCCCAAAACAAAGTGCAAATCAGGTTCCACGCAGGTTCTGCAAATAAAAGCCAAAACCAGGCATAGGGAGAGAGAGAGAGAGAGAGAGATGAGGCTAGGCAGCATTGCCCCAGTCAATGGTTTGGTATGCCCAAGAGTGCTTAGCCCAAAACAAAGTGCAAATCAGGTTCCACGCAGGTTCTGCAAATAAAAGCCAAAACCAGGCATAGGGAGAGAGAGAGAGAGAGAGAGAGAGAGAGAGAGAGAGAGAGTTGGGGAAAATAATTCATAGTGCTACTTTGACTTATCCAATTAAAGCCCACACAAGACTGTCAGTCATCCATCCCACATTCGCACGCACATTGTATTCTAATGAAGATTACCAAAGAGAAACAGGAAGTAATTCCTTTTTTAGTATAGCCTGTCTAATAAGTGACGTATCACCCTTCCTTTCACTTGCCTACATGCAAAATGGCTACTCAGGTTGGTGAGGTGTGTATAGAGCAGGGGTCTCAAACATGTGGCCCGGGGGCCATTTGCGGACCGCCAGATGATAGTTTGCGGCCCCCGCCTTGCCTGCCCCCCCGAAGCGCCCACGTGTCCTCTGCTGTCAAGAGTCAAAAAAGTCTTGCCTTGCTCACCGGCTCTCTCCCAAGAAAGTGCCTCTTGCACCCTCCATCCAGAACTGCAGCCTGCTAGCCAGCCTGCCTGAGTGTGCCTTGTTTTGAGTGGGGCCCTCAGAGGAAGGTTGCTGGACCTCTGTGTGTGTGCGCGCACACACACACGTGCGCCTGTGGGGGGCCCACCCCATTCTGTTTAATATCACAGGTACAATGAGGGCTTTTCTCCTTTGGCAAGGCGATTCTGTGCCTTCCTCCCCCCTGCTAGGCGGTCACTGGCACTCCTTTCTCCACTTCTTCATCCTGCTACTGCTGCTGCTGGTGGTGGTAGTGAAGAAGGAGCTGGAGGGGGTCGTGGCCAGTGAGGAGGTCTCGCGCACCCCTCCTCCTCCTCGGAGCCCCAGCCGGGCTAAGGAAACTCCTGGGCAGCTTCCTTGGACTCTTGCTCCGCTTGGCGGAAAATCTGATGCGGCCCAGCCTCACCCAGACTCTGCCTCCAGCGGCCCCCAGATAAATTGAGTTTGAGACCCCTGGTATAGAGTCTGTTGAGGACAATCTGAGCCCTGCTTAGGGGGTCAGTGACTGGAATTTTCTGAGAAAGATTTGACTTCAGCTGTCAATCTTCTGCTTTGGCGATTCCTTCTTTTGCTGGTACAAAATACTGATGTCAAGTTGTTTTAGTTTTTTTGTAATAGTAGTATTTCATACTACAATATGCAACAGATTTGCAACACACATTTTTGAGAACCCTTTCTCCCCCAGAATTTATTAGTAAAGCATGAATTTACCATAAACAACATACAGAAAACCAGACAGACATCCCTATGAAACAGATAAGGCCAGCAGGACTCCCTGAAATTACTATACTAGTGCAATCAAAAAATCTTATCTAGGATAGTAAACTTATTCTGAAATTAAAAGTTAAGAGATGAACATCTAGCAGAAAAAGATTATATAAATAAAATAAATATTAGCCAAAGCAGACCATTATAATAGCAAATATATTGGAAACCTTGTAAATCTGAACTATTGACACAGTTTCTGAGGTATTTATTTCTAAACCAGTGGTTATATAATCTAAACCAGAAACAATCTAACCACTATATAATAATATGTTGTAATAATAATTACAATAATCTAATCATTCTTCTTAAACGGAAGAAATAATAGTTGTCTGAAATTTCTTTCTTTCTTTCTTTCTTTCTTTCTTTCTTTCTTTCTTTCTTTCTTTCTTTCTTTCTTTTCTTTCTTTCTTTCTTTCTTTCTTTCTTTCTTTCTTTCTTTCTTTCTTATGCACATTTCAGTGTTGCCATAGCTTTAATCTTTCTCCTTGAGAACGTGCTAAGAAAATGGTGGACCTATACAATGCCTTGCTCCAGGTCTCTCTTACCTCTCTGTTCCTAAGGCTGTAAATAATTGGGTTCAGAAACGGAGTTACCACTGTGTAGAGGATGGACACCAGTTTGTTGAACTCAAAACTTTGAATGGCTTTGGGCCGGGCATACATGAATATAGTGGAGGCATAGAACATACAGACGACTACCAGATGAGAGACACAGGTGGAGAAAGCTTTGTGTTTACCTTTTCTAGAGGGGATCCTTGCAACTGTACGAAAGATGCATACATAAGATATTACAGTCACCAGCAGTGAAGGCATGAGAACCACTAATGCTGCCACAAAATCTAGCAACTCAATGGATGAGGTATCAGTGCATGACAACGTCAGCAAGGGTGAGATGTCACAGAAGAAGTGCCTAATGGTATTTTTGCTGCAAAACTGCAAGTTGGAGATCATAATCACAGATGGAAATGTAAATAGGAAGCCGCCTAGCCAAGAACCAATGCTTAAAACCATGCAGACTCTGTGATTCATACGTAATGTATAATGTAGAGGATGACAAATGGCTAAATACCTATCATAGGCCATTGCTGTTAAGAGGAAAAATTCAGAGGAAGCGAGGGATATGATAAAACACAGCTGAGTGACGCAACCACCCAAAGTTATTGTCCTTTTGCTGAACAACAGATTGGAGAACAACTGAGGCATTATCATGGACACATAGATAATTTCTAAAATGGAAAGATTTCCCAGGAAGAAGTACATTGGTTTGTGAAGGTGTCTGTTCAATGAAATTGTCAAAATAAGAAGGATATTTTCCAGCAGAGTTAGAAGGTAGATGGTGCAGAATAATGCAAACAATGAGAACTGATCTTGTGCAAGTTCAGGAAATCCCAAAATTATAAATTCGAACTGGAGTGTTTGATTCCACATGTTAATCTTGGCCTTCCTTGTTTCTAACAGATATTGAATGTCAATTCTATGAATAGATACATTAAAGAAATAACTTAAAGCTGTCTTTCAGTAAGAGCCTTCTGACAGTAAATTAAACTACCGTATTTTCCGTGTATAAGACGTCCCCATGTATAAGACACCCCCACTTTTCTAATCCAAAATTAAAAAATCTAAGTGGGTCTTAGCAAGTGTAGGGGAGAAGGGATCTAAGCCCTGCAGGATCACTTTGATCCCTGCTTTCCCCTCCACATGTTTTTGTTCTCTCCTCATCTTACTTCCATGTATAAGACAACCTTTTTAGCCTACAGATTTTAGACAAAAGTATAGTCTTATACACAGAAAATATGGTAATTTATATATGTTTGTATCATTCAAATAAATAAATTCACGAGAATCAGCAAATACAGTGGATTAAACTTAAATAAATGGATTACAAATTATTTTAAAAAATTCAATACATACATTATAATAGTCAAAATCCTGTTAGTTATGCACACAAATATAACTTGAGGCATACATTTGGAGGAAAATTGATTCAAGTTAAAAGCCTAGCAGGGCTTTGGAAATGTTTGGGTGCTCCAGACAGCTATAGCACTTCCCTGTTAATGCATTCTTCACTCATATTAGTCTATCTTTTAGTTCAATATATTCATATAGATCGACTTGCTTGTATTTTACGGGCGATGTATTCCACAGTTCACAGTAAAGATGTGATGAAGTTGTGAAGCTCCAATTCTCACTACACTGCAAATTCTCAAGGTAAAGCTGATATTATGCTGTGGATAGAAGATAAGAGCTTTTGAGAGGGATTGTGAAGAACATGAGATTGCACCTTCCAGCCAAGTATGACTGATGGCTAACAACACTTTCAAATTTGATGAATTAGTGGCATACTGACTGTAGAGACTGAATTTCATTTCATGGACTGGATCTTTATTTTACACAAACATTCATAACGAAAAATCCATGATTATGCAGTTAATCCTTTTCTAATAAGGTTCTTCTCGTGTTCTTGTGTGCTATATCCACCAAATCAGAACCAACTTACACCAACCCTACCAGATATAATCTTTTCCCAAGGTAAATTTGATAATTAAAGAGTGGTTTCATCCATTGCATCCACACCCAGTGAGTTTCCATTGCAGACTGGGGTCTCCTTAGTCAATCATTTTTTCTATAGCACTACACTAGGTATCCTCATATTCTTAAGTATCACATATCCTTGTCTTGTAACACATATTCTTTTTACTTCCCCTTAGAAAAAACACTTATGAAAAAGAAGGCAGAAAAAGACAGACAGCATTGCTATAACAAACTAACTCATTAAATTAAAATGTTTGAATCATTGCATCCACATCCAGTGAGTTTCCAATGCAGACTGTGGGTCTCCTGAGTCCTAGTCCATCATTTTATCTATAGCACTACACTAGATATCCTCATGTTCTTAAGTATCACATATCCTTATCTTGTAACACATATTCTTTTTACTTCACCTTAAAAAAACACTTATAAGGCAGAAACAGACAGCATTGCTATAAAAAACTAACTCATTAAATTAAAATGTTTGAATCGGAAGCAATACATTAGATATATGTTCAGTTTTGTAAGAAGGATATGCCAGATGTATTGCATCTACATTCAGCATTTTGAACGTTGAGCTCCTCTTTTCAGTAACGATAACCAAGTGTTTATTTAACCAGCTATGTCCAACCAATTTCAGCAGAAATAAAGAGCATTCTTAGCATTAGCTGGAACATGCCTTTCATAGTGCATTTTATATTATAGTCACTTACCTGAGAATAGGGCATTTTGAAATTAGTGGATTTCTGCATATAGATAGATATAAATTTTATTGCATGGTTAGTCCCTCTTTTTTATATAACATGTTGAAGTTTGGTGGATATTTTCTGGAAGAAAGCAGCTGGATAGCTCAGTGATTTAGGTCTCTGACTGCAGGACCAGAGGTTAGGATTTCGATTCCCCACTGTGCCTCCTTGACAGTGGCTGGACTTTATGATCCACGGAATCTCTTCCAGCTCTGCCGTTCTCATATTATTATAATGCAAGGAATCCTGCAGTATCTTAAAGACTATCAAATTTTATTTGGCATAAACATCCATGATTTTTAGCTCACTTTTTATGCAACAAATTAATGCAGCTGCTACTCTGAAAATTTCTCAAACAGGTGGGTCTTCGATATTCTTGGAGGCAATTTTGAAACAAGCCCCACATTCTCTCTTCGTGAAGATTTTATGGTCAAATGGTCGTGTATATTCTCTTTTAAAAATGCACACACACATTTGGATGGCAATTGTTCTTTTCAAATGACTTAGTCCTAAAGTCCCAATTGTAGTTAACCCCTGGGAAGACCATTAGAGATCTAAGTACCAAGAGATTTAGGAATTTCTTTTTATATAAAGTTTTTAATTAATGACAAATCACTCTTCTACTGTTTTCCTATGGCACCAATAAGTTTATCGGTTGATCAGGTAGAATTAAAGCTAGATTGATAGATTTATTTATTTATTTATTTTGGTCGTTGGGCAGATTTTCTGAGTAGTGGTCCCTTGTGAGTTATGAGCTGGTGGTGCCAATTTTGGGGAGGGTCACAGCCAAATGTGAATGTGAATGCCCCTTTTATCTCTATACTATCTTGTTTTCTCATTCTTTCTCTCTTCTCCACTCAGATAGAAAGGGAAGAATACTGCAAAAATACAGTGTGATATTTGGTTGAAAGTCACATCTAGTTCTAACATTGAAGGTCGGCTATTTTTGGTTTAAGATAGAATTAATGGAGGTATCGTAAGCAGTGTTCACTCATTATTCACTTGTTATACCCAAGCATTAAACTGACAACTAAGGAGTTAAGTGTTTAACCTTTTATTACCACTTCTGTCACTGTTCTTGATACAAAGAGTAATGATTCTGAGCCTTTACAGTGGGATCTTGACTTGCGAACCTAATCCGTATTGGAAGGCGGTTCGCAGGTCAAAAAGTTCGCAGGTCAAGTGTGCATTTCCCATAGGAATGCATTGAAAACCATTTGATCCGTATCTGCTCTTTTCCGTCCATAGAAACTAATGGGAAGCTGCTATTCCGCCTTTGGCCACTAGAGGGGGATATTTTTCTTCTTTTTTTCTTAGGTCAAGAAAAGTTCAGGGAAGAAGGGGGGAGGCATGGGAACAGTGTTAAAAGCACTTTTGAAACCCTTTTTTTCAAGGATGCCAATTTTAAAACATGTTTTAAAGCATGTTGTGCTGATTTTTTTCAGCACAAAGACACACAGGCAGGGCTCTGGAAGTCACACCTTAGCCCTTTTCCCCCCTCCACTCTCCTCCCAGATGCCCGCTTTCTTTCTTTCTCTCTCACACACATACACACACATACACAGTCTGAGCCCACAAAACCGCACTCTGAGGGAACCACCTCAGAACCGCCGTTTTCCCCTCGGCGGGACTCCCTCCTGCCCGCCTCCCTCACACCCTTGCCGGGCAGCCTCCTCGCCCCACACATTCCAGCTGCCCACCTTCACAGGAGAAGAAGAAGAAGCAAGAAGCCCAGCAGCAGGAGAAGGAGAGCTGAGGCAGAGGCAGTGGTGGGGACGGTGACCCATTTCCTACCTTCTTTCACATACTGTACAGTACCTCGGTCCGCCTCAGCAGCCAGATAGGAGGGGGCGGGCCTTGCCTTATACTGTACTGTATTTGGTCCTAGGCACTGCCCTGGCCAATGGATGAACGACAGCAGTTTGAATTTTCCGCTTTCCCCGGCTCTCCCTTTTTTTCCCCACTTTTGGGTTCGTACGTCAATTCTCCGTTCGCAAGTCAAAATGGATTTTTGCGGACGGAGAAGTACGTAACTCAAAAAGTTTGTACCTCGGGCCGTTCGCAAGTCAAAACCCCACTGTATCTGTGTGGGCTACCCATGAAGGTTAGAATCCAGGAAAATCAGTGTTTCAACTCATATCAACAGTGTGCATGGGTAGTAGAGGATTTCTGCTTCAGACTATTCATGCCCACAAATATGATAGTGACAAAATGATAGAGTTAGGGCAGAGTTAGAGCAGTCTCCTCATATGTTAATATAATGCAGAGAAATAGTAAGAAATCAGAACTATAATACTTCTGGTTCTTTTTACTCATTCCTTGCTCTTCCAAACACTTTTTCCCCTCCCTTCCTCCCTTCGAGAAGAGGATTCCTTCTTCTATAGATGTCCTTTGAGGAACAAACAGACATGGGTCATGTTGAGGTTGCATTTCTTTAGCAATACTGTAAGACTCAGGTACTTCATGGGTACATTGTGTGCTGTCAAGCCCATTCTGACTTAGATTACACTTTTCAGGTTTTCTAGGTAAAGACTACTCAGAAGTGGTTTGCCATTCCCTTCTTCTAGAGGTGCCCTAGGACTGTACAGGTTGCCCATGATTTCATAAGCTGACTCTTAAGGGATACACAGTAAATAATTGAACTCTCAACCTCTGATTCCACAGATACCTAATTCACTGAGCTAGATAATTATCAGTAGTTAGGACTGCTAATATTGAGCCTTGTGATATATAAAACATTCTAGATTTGTAGTATTCTTTATAATTCTGTGTTTTAAATATTAACTTCAGATGTCACAGAATCATTGAATTGTAAGAGATGGAAGGTACACCAAAAGTAAACTAGTCTAATTCCCTGCTGATGGAGAAAATCCACATACATACATCGTTTTGAGTGATGCACAAATTTCTACATGTAGGCCTGGGGAACAGAGAGTAAATACATCAAAGGACAGATAGGACTACAGTGGGACCTCGACTTACAAACATCCCTACATACGAACTTTTTGACTTATGAACGGCTCTGTTCGCAAAAATTTGCATCAACTTGCGAATGCAGCCTCGCTCTATGAACACAAAAAGCAGGGGGAAAGGGTGGGAAATTCAAATTCCCCCTGTCTTTTGGCCTTCAGAGGTCAAGGCTCCGTTCACAAG